CAGGAATTCCCCACGCCATCCGGGATTCGAACCCACAACACCCCCATTACGAGCACCTCCATCCCACCCAAACCGGGGGGGTTTGGCCTGCTCCTTGGGCTGTCAAACGCACGCAGCTGTATGAGGAAGCCCCTCTGGGGTGATACCAGCCCCACAGGTCTGGACAAGGGTGGTGTTAGGATCCTGGGTTCGAATCCCAGATCTGTTAGAGCCCGAGGGGTGAGACACGGGGCATGGGTCCAGGGTCTGCTGCAACCACGAGACCCTGCTGGGTGGTGGTGCTGATGGGGTGATGCCGTGGCCCGTCTCCCCGCACTGCACATTGCTCTAGGTACCAGGCATGTGTGGGCAGACAGAGCCGCCGGGTGTGATGGTGTCCTGCAGCTTCCACCCCTTTCACTGCTGGGCCAGGCCCTGCATACGCAGCACAGACCTGTGGACACCCGTGGCACCCCACTTGCCTCTGGCTGGGCCAGCAGGGGTGCTGGGGGCAGCTGGCACATCCGAGGCTCTGGTTTAGAGCCAGGAGGAGCCATCCTGATGCCCTTGCCCCAGTGGAGAGCTCCTGCCTTTTTCCTCCTGAAAAGCCTGGGTGCAGCTACAGCGTCCTCTTGCTCCAGAGACCCCGGGAGCTGCCTGGGGGTCCAGCCCCTGCCTCTTAGAAGCAAGGGACTGGGGAGGGGCTGATGCCACATCCTCTGCCCACAGGTTCGTGGGGTACCCCGGGCAGTACGGCAAGCTCCTTGGCATGCGCAACGAGGACGTGAGTACCGAGTGGCGCCCTTGTGCTGCATTAACATGCCAGAGCAGAGACTGGGGCTGTGTCTCCTCACTCCCAGCCCGCAGCACGTGCTCCTGCTCCCTCCTATTTGCACCCGGTCAGGGGAGACGGACGGGCACAGGCATCCAGGAGTCCCGGGGCTCCCCCAGGAGAGGCAGGGCTGGGTGTACTCTGTCTTATCTCCTGTTTGCATCCCACAGTGCGGCCCCGGCGGCTGCCTCATCGAGCTGGCGCAGCAGCTCTTCATCATCATGGTGGGCAAGCAGATCGTCAGCAACATCCAGGAGTTCCTCATCCCGTGAGTGCCCGGGGAGGGGGTCCTCGGTGGGTGCGGGGCCGTGGGGTGCGGGTTGCTGACCCGATGGGGCTCCACGCCATCCTGTGCCGGCCTGGTGCTGTGAGCCGTTTGCAGGTGGGAGGCATGGGCAAGCTGGGACAGGGGCTCTAGCGTTAGCACAGGAGCTCCCAGGCATGCAGGGGAGAACCCAGAGCTCCCTCCCTACAGCCCGGGGCACCTGGCAGACCTCTCTGCCCCGAGGTGGTGGGCTGGCTGGGGGTAGAGGGAGGCCTGGCACTGGCAGCTGAGGCAGAAGCAGCTGGCAAAATGCCCCGGCCTCTCCCTGCAGCAAGCTGAAAGCCTGGAGGCAGAAGAGGAAGCTGGCCAGGGTTCGGGGCTCGCAGATCAGCCAGGAGCCACGGCGCTGGGAGGAGGACTACGAGCTCATTGAGTGCGAGGGGCTCTTTGAGGAGTACCTGGAGATGGGTGAGCAAGAGACGTGCCCAGCCCGCCCGGGAGACCCCCGACCGCGGGTCGGCCCAGCATCCGGGAGCAAACAGAGGGGGCTTTGTCCCTGCCCTGCGTGCCAGGCCGGCTCCGGCCAGACCCACGGGAGGTTGGCTTTGTGGGTGAGGCAGCTTCCCCCCAGCCTCTCCCGGGCACGGGGCTGGAGCATCGGGGTGCTGCCAGTGCCGGGGGGTCCCTGACTGCCTCTGGCCCCGCAGTGCTGCAGTTTGGGTTCATCACCATCTTCGTGGCCGCCTTCCCACTGGCCCCGCTCTTCGCGCTGCTCAACAACTGGGTGGAGATCCGGCTGGACGCCCAGAAGTTCGTGTGCGAGTACCGGCGCCCCGTGGCCTACCGTGCCCAGGACATCGGCGTCTGGTTCTTCATCCTCGAGGTCCTGGCACAGATCTCCGTCATCATCAACGTGAGTGCGGGCAGGGCGCGGGGTGCTCCGCGTCCAGCTCCGTGCTGCCTGGGCAGGTCTCCCAGTGGCCGGTGCCCACGGAGGCCGGCACATCCCCTCTGTGGACATGCCCCGTGGTGGCCCAGGCAGGGAGTGCACGTGCCCTGACCCTGCGGTCTCCCTCAGGCCTTCCTCATCGCCTTCACCTCGGACTTCCTGCCCCGGCTGCTGTACCAGTATGAGCACGACAGCCAGCTCCACGGCTACATCAACTTCACCCTGGCTTATGCCCCCCAGAGCTACGTCGCCAGCAATCACACCCTGTGCCGGTGAGAGGCAACACGGGGGGGATGTCATTGCAGGGGGTGCAGCCCGGATCTGCTGCTTAGAGAGACCGGGGCTTCGTTCCCCAGGGCCGCCCATCAGGGACCTTCCCTCAGCCCCACGTCCACCCAGCTGAGGCTCTCGGGTGCTAGCAGGGGGGTCCCGAATAGGACACGAAGCCAGGGCCCGCTCTGAGCTGCCGCCCCGCTCCTCTGTGCAGGTACAAAGCTTTCCGCGACACCAGTGGGAACTACACCCTCTTCTACTGGAAGCTGCTGGCCATCCGCCTGGGCTTCATCATCGCCTTCGAGGTGAGGCCCGCCAGGGTGGGCTCCTGCCCAGGATACGGGCAGGGGCTGGGCTGCCCGTTATGTCCTGGTGCCCTTCACCGCGGTGGTAGCTGAGCCCCAAACGGGTGCATTGCTGCAGCACCTTCTCCCCATCCATCCATCCATCCATCCCTCCGCTGCTGCGTTTTCTGCACCCCCATCACTGAGCTCTTCAGTCTTCAGAGAGAGATTCCCCTCTGCTCTTCTCCCTGCTCTGGAAACCATTGGAGATACTGAGCAATGCCTGTGGAAACGAGAGCTTCCCCCTGCTCCCTGTCCCGGTGGGCTGAGCTGCTCAGCCTCATGCTGCCCCACAGCGCTGTGGCTGGGGCCAGCTCCTGGCCTGCTGGCAGGGTGAAGGAGAGAGGCCTGCGATACATCCCCGATGGCTTGTAGCTGATGAGATGAAGGCAGGTGGGATGGAGAAAGGGCCCTCTTGCTGTTGGACAGAGCAAGGTGGTGCTAGCCCCATAATCGGATGGGGAAACTGAGGCTCAAGGGACATGCCCATGTGGCAGATGCAGGGACTGGCATCGGGATCCCCCAGGCCCGAGTCGGTCCCTGACCCCTCGCTCCCCCGCAGCACGTGGTCTTCTTCTGCCTGCGCCTCATCGACTGGTTGGTGCCCGACGTCCCCGAGTCGCTGGAAGTGAAGATCAAGCGTGAGCGGTACCTGGCCAAGCAGGCGCTGGCCGACAACCACGACGTGCTGCTGACGGTGAGTCCCGACTCGCCCTCACCAGGTCAGTGCGCCGGGTGCCGCGTGCGTGTGCCTGTGTGTCTGCTCGGGTCTGTGTGCCCAGCCAGGGTTAGCACATCACGGGACGCACACGGGATCCCGCTGCAGGGTCAGACATGGCCCCCATCCCCTGTGCTTCCCACAATGCCAATCTCGCTATATGCCAGGCCTCTGTATGGCAGCTGCCAGGGTTGGCATCGGTGCCGGAGGAGCGCCGAGCTTCATTCAGGGGGTGACTGCATACACAGCCCTGCTGATGCCCCTTGGGCCCGTCCCATACTCCCCACTCTGGGGCTGGAGCACCCCTGCCATGCCCCCGGCTCTGCCAGACGTGGCCCTTGCTCTTCATCCCCAGTGGCTCATCTGCCGTCTCCCTGCAGGTTTGGGATCCATGTCTATTAGCAGATGTATTCATCAGTCTATTTGTGGGGGTTGAACAAATAGATTTGTTGAATCTATTTCCTCTGGCACCTCTCACCTCATCACAGTGGGTGCTAGGGAGGGCATTGAAAGGGCACGGATCGGTCTCGAGATCTCCGGTTCGAGGCTCTCCCTCTGTAGCATCCCAGGCCGTGAGGTCATGGGCAGATCAGCCCCGAGGGGCTGTGCTCGTGGGCAGCGCTCGTGGGCAGCAAGGACACTAGTCTTGAGGGCAGCCAGCTGGCACGTGCCCTTGGCACTCGCACAGACCCACCTGCTGTATAAATTGAACAGGGCCCTCCCCTGCGGGCACGACTATGAGATCCCCCGCGCGAGCAACAGCCGCCAACACGAGCTGGTCCCACGATGGGCAAGGGGATGTCACCAGCCCCGGCCCGAGATCCCTTCCTGGCTTGTCCCAAAGCTCCAGGATCCTTCCATGCCACTTTTGAAAGGGACGGGCCAGTGCCTGGCGGGCACCCCTGCAAGGGGATCAGCCCCTTAGGGCAGCACATCTGGGCACCATCCCTTTGAGTCCCCAGTGGGTTGGTGCTGCTCTGCCTGGCAGCTGCCCCCAGAGCTGCTGTTGCTCATGGGATGCCTGGATCTCATCTCCCACTCTTCTCCGTTCATTTCCGCCCTGCTTAGATGTGCATCACGTCTGCTGCATGTGCACATGTGTGTGCATACAATCCGTGTCCAGAGCTGTGCCCCGGAGCAGGGGGACCAGCACAGCAGCTGCACTCTTGTCCCCGAGGCGGGCACTGGGGCACGGGCTGCTGCCACCTTCGTCCCTGCCCCATCTGTCTCTGTGCCCGGAGGAGGCAGCGTGGCCTCTCTCAGCTCTGCCCCAGCCAACGGTCGCCCCCTCCTCCAAAATCCCATCTGGGCAAACCGAAATCCAGCCCTGGCTTTCCCTGCAGCTGTCCCCAGGGTGGGGGGGCATTAGCCAATGGGGCAAGCAGGCACTTGAGCCGGGGGTGAACCTGGCCTGGATCTCTCTGCCCATCCGGAGTGGACCGTGGGTGGCGGGAGGACGCTGGGCACAGGGTGCAGCTCCCGTGGCTGTGTCTCGTGGTGTGCCGTGTGTGTGTGCTGTACATGTGTGTGTTCGTGGCGCTCACGTCTTTCACTGTCTTCACCCGGGACAGCATGACTGTGTGGTGGCCCTGTGGTAAGTGTCCCCGTCCCTACACCCTACGCGCTTCCCCACACCTCCATCCGTGGCACACGGGACCACGTCACTGGCATTCTCCAGGGGGGCCTGGCAGCCTGGTTAATTTTGGGATAGCTTCAGCCACAGGGTCAGCATGTGACCCGCTCCTCCCTCAGCCCACAGAGGCTGGGGGCAGGCAGGGGCTGGCGTACATTTGCCTCTCGGGCAGGTGGATGGAGCTAGGTTGAGGCCCCCCAGCAGTGGACTGTGCTGTCCACTGCATCCCATTGGCGTGATGGGGGGTAGCCACATCCCTGGGGGGTTGCAGGGGTCTGCACCAGCTGCCCTTGGCGTGCGGGCTCCGCTGGGCTCAGTCTGCACTGAGCTAGGCAGGCTCCGGGCTTCCCGAAATCTCCTACACAGACAGGAGAGGCCAGAGCCAAGGGCACAGGGTAGCTCCCTGCTGCCGGCTGCATCCCGGGGCTCGTATGGGCAGGGTCTGGGGAGAGACGGCCGTGGGCACGCAGGCTTTCCAGGGGGTAGGAGAGCTGAAGCCCAGAGAGGAACAGGTCCCGTGTGAGCTATTGCACCGTTGGGCTGTCTTGGCCGAGGAGCCGTGCTGGCCCCGCTCAACCCCGCTCCTGCGGGGAATTGGGCTTATTTGGGCCCGATTCTGGAGCTGATTCTGGGAGCACGCTGGGTCCTGGCTCTGGGGATGGGGACAGGCAGTCCCGGGGGATGAACGCTAACCCGGATGCTCCGTCTCCTCCCCACGCAGCAAGCAGCCTTTCACCCAGCAGCATGACCTAGCCGCCAGGCCGGGGGCGGCTGCTGGAAGGGAAGGCAGAGACGGCTCTGAGCGGCCCCCGCACGCTCCACCTCATCGCCCGACCTTGGAGACAGCGCGAGGATCGGGCAGGGCCGCCGCGGTCCTGCCAATGCTCCGCCGAGGACCTGCTGCTTCCCTGGGCACCGGCGGAGGCCGGAGACTCCTGCTCGGGCAGGGTGGACATGGGGAGGCAGGGGCTCGTGTCCCTCTGGAGCAGGAGCTCCACGCTTCACCCCGCTCTGTGTCCGGCTGCACGGGGTTGAAGGACCCAGCTCATCCCCTTCGGACAGGCAGGGCCGGCGGCTCCGGCTCAGGGGGGCAGCTGCTGGCAGGATTTCTGGAGCGACGTGTGGCCCCCCGGAGACCTGCGCACGCAGCCAAGAGTCTGGACTCGGGTGGACTGAGCCCAGCGCCCTGCTCTGACTCTTCCCCAGTTGCTGCCCTGCGAGCCAGAGGCCAGTGACTCCCCCTGCAAGAGCTGCAGCCCCCTCGGAGCACGTCGGGGGCTGCTCCAGGCCCCTCGCCAGAGCTGCCGGCCGGCGCTGAGAGCACAGGTGCAGAAGCCAGCGCCGTCGTCTCTTGGATCTCCTCTTCCCTCCGTCCCTACTGGGGGCACTGGAAGGATACCCCCTCCCCCCTGACATAACACCCCCTGCACCGCTGCCACCGCCGCTGCTTCTGCACCTGGTCTTTGCGCTTAACGCTCAGGACCCCGCGGGGGCCGCGCGCCACCAAGCCGTGCACTGTGTGTGTGGGCAACCAATACACTCGGCATGAGACCACAGCAGCCGTGTGTGCATGCGTGTGCGTGTCCGGGGGGGCAGAGACGCCAGCGCGGGGCCAGCAGCTCCCCTCCATGGGGTGCTTGCAGGATGGGACCGAGGCGAGCACCGGGCCGGGACGCAGGAGATCTGCATCCTCCAGGCTCGGTCTAGGGAGTTCCCTTCCCTGTGCCTCAGTGTCCCCTGGGCGGGGAGGACGTGTTGGAGGCAGCCTGGGAAAGGGCCCAGATTTCAGCTCCCCCCAGAGCAGCCTTCAGACGTGGGTGGAGGCCGGTGCCCGCCCGGGGAATTCCAGGCTGAGTCACAGCCCGGCCCCGGAGGCCAAGGGCACAGCCAAGCCGGGCCGCGGAGGCTCCCAGAGGCTGCAAGGGGCCCAGCTGCCGGCTTCGGGTGCCCTCCAGCTGTGCTGGCCGCGGGCAACTCTTGCTCAGCCCCTGCGTCCGAGCTCCTTGCTGGGGGGCTGCAGTGCAACCGCCGTCGGCTCTGGTGGGACCCCGAGGGCCCCTGCACTTGGAGCGGGCGCGGAGCTGCAGGCGTGCAGGGCCCGCGGCGGGGAGGGCCCAGCCGCCCCCCGTAATTTGCGGCCCCGCAGCGAAGGGAGACACAAAGGGAAGACGGGGAGGAAGTCTGCACGCGCCACGCCAGCCCCTGCAATTACACCTCGCCGTCATCGCTTGGCCCAGCTCGGCCCTCGGTGCCATCTCCGGGCTTGCCCCTTCCCTGGGTAGCACCGGGGTGGGGGGTCCTGGGAGGCAGATGTCAGCCCACCCCAGGAGCACGCAGGCTGGGACCCCAGCGGGCGAGTGCCCCGGTCCCCCTGGCTGTCACCTCTGTGGGTCCTTGCTCCGGTTCCCCCATACCCAGGGAGCGCCTCCACCTCCTGCCCACGTGCCCCCCATCCCATCGCCACCCTACAGCCCCACATCGCGGGGCGGCAAAGCGGGAGGCCCTTCCCCGAGCCG